CAACAAAATTACTAAATTGTATGCACTTTTTAATTATTTGTGTTAATTTATAATTATACAATTATATAATTTGTGTTAAAAGTATTCAGAAATTAATTTTTGAAATAGAAATGAGCATAAATGAATAACGTTAAATAATTAAATAAATTAATAATTATTATGTATTATATAATTGAAGGCGATCACGATATGGATACTGGAGCCAGCAGAGTTTTATTTCATATAATTATGGTGAAACAAAAGTTGAATTTTCGGTAATTCTCTAGGGTGGGGTAACAACCCCTAAAAAAGGTGCGGAAAAGTCGAGAGGGGTACCAACCGACGCGTTTCAGCCCCCCTAATAACAATCCGGAGGGGGGAAGATAATATTATTAACCATTTAAAAGTTATGAACAAAAAACTTTTGTTAAATTTCGTTGTTTTCTATGGGCAATTACACCGACAAAGATTCACTAAATCACGTGTTCTCACTCCTTAAACACTATTAAAATATATAATTTAACGTACGTTGTACGTATGCTAGTCTAAGAAGTTCGTTAAATTTTAATTAGTATGGCTGTTCACACTTATCTGATTATCAGATTATCTGGTTATCTGGTTGTGTTTATATTTTTTATTCAGTTTATAACAATAATATACAGTATAAAATAAAAATTTGTGCTAAAAATAAACCGGGTAGGAATATATTACGCTAGATAACTTCACTATTTTCATTTACTCACTGCAAGTCACGATACATGCTACTGTGTACATCCTCTTCTCTCTCGTCCTCCTTTCGTTCCATATAATTCCAAGTGCCACCGACTGCTGAATGCCGTTCGTACGCCACTGCCTCAAAATCGTGCTGCAGTGAATTCTTCAGCGCCGTGAGTCCAGCCATTCCGGCTCCTACAATACATACTCTCCGCTTGGACGTCATTTTCATGGAATATTTAGTTTACTTTTGAAAAAGTAAATTTTTACTAAAATGATCGTGCGTAATATCTTCCAACTATGTACATATGTAGATAAGTAATATCTATCAACCCACTCAACGATCTCTCTGAGCTACAGCACTTGTCGTCTTCAAATGCTAGTAGGCCTGGGTAACGGCGCAAATTTTTTGGCGCTGACACACTAACTCCAGCGCCACTGGCGGAATTAGCACAGTGTGTTGGCGCAATTGCGCCTCTTCAGGTTGAAGCTCATTTCCTTTATTGCTGCACGCTGCACCAAATGAATTAATACAA